ACGAGTACACAAAAACTGTACGAGTTGGTCGCGAAGAGTTGTCACAGACGCTACGTGACGTCAACCGTGTTTCCCGTGTTTTGACGGAGAGGGCCGCCCCCCTCCGCACGTCCCTGCTCCATGGTGCTCGTAGAGCCATTCGGCTCCGGTCGTGTATCAACGCTTCGCTCGGCCGCGCCTGCGCAGCCGCCTGCGCGTCCCGTGCTGCGCGGCCGTAGGGCGACGTCATCCTGGCTCGTCAGCCCGTCTCCCCCCGCGCATCCCTGAGCCGGCGCTCTCTTCAGCCTGAGCTTCGGCTCTTTTCGGCTCGTGTCGCGACGGGAGGCCGAGTCTGCGCCTTGATCTACGCAGCCATCGCTGCGCGTTGGCGGCGCGTTGGCGGCGCGTTCGTCGGCGCGGAGGACACCCCCCCAGCCGTTGCACCGCGCGGTGCAGGCTGCGGACAACCACCCGCACGAGCGATGCCACCCCCAGCAGGACGCTCAGCCTGCCCCTGGCGAGGAACAGACTCCGATGGTACTTTGAGCCCCGTAGGCGAGCGAACCCCCTTCTCGACCGAAGGGGGAGAAGGCCGCGCGCGCGGAGTTACCTTAGGGCGCCGCTCGTTCGAGGGGGGCTTCCCCCCTTTATTCCTGGCCTCATCAAGGGCCTTGCGATAGGTAGGGCACCGGAGACCCCCGTCCCGGTGCCCGTCCTGATCGCAAACCACACATCTCTCACGCCCCTTGCACTCGCCAGCCCGGTGGTCATCAGCACCGCATTTGCGGCAGACCTTAGAACGGTCTGGCCCTTCACATTCGGCGGCCCGATGCCCGTAACCCCGGCACCTGAAGCACTGGAGAATTTCCTCGCGCTCAGTTACCAAACAGCAGCTCCAGCCCACGCGCAGTGGGCTGAGAGCAAGGATACGCGCCGCCACCGACGCGGGAGCCAGAATGGATACATTCTGCCTCCCGGCGAATGCCGACCGGAGGGCGCGTATCTTGTAGCTGTCGGGCGGGAAATCGGGCAGCCTCCGGTGGATGGCCGCCTTAATGTCGTCGGCGGTCGCATCGCCTTCGACACGACGAAGGTGCAAGGTGCGGAGAGGGCCCCTCCCCACACCGACCGACGCCCTAAGCCCCTGAACCTTCTCGTTCACAAGAGAGCTGAGCGCCCTGGCCTTAGCCCCGTCGCCC